GGTTCTCACAGTGAAACAGAACATATTATTTGTTGACAGTCAGTGGGAAAAAGCTCACATATAATTATTTACGCATACAAAGAAATGAAATTTCATTGTTGCACTATAAAAAGACTTGAAACATACGTGTATTGATTACATACAAATTTCTACCAGATGAGTGAAAATCAAACAAGTGACATTGCAACATTGGATTGTGAATATGAGCGCAATCGTATGAAACGAATTATGGAATCCTCGAAGGAAGCTACAAATAAAATGTCTTCGGATGTGAAGGAATCAATAATTACACCTAGTAACGTATTCGAAAATCTAGCATGTAAATTTCAACAATTACAAAAGAGTGATGTCGACTCTCGAGATCGTTATCGTCAAGGAATAGTATTATGCAATGAATTGATCGATTCTATTGCGACAGCTACTATTGGTGACGCAGATGCTTATCGAATTTGTCTGAAACTGTTTTCAAAAGTGATAGAAGAATTTCGATTTGGAATTATTACGAATGATGAGAAGCTGTTAGAACGCGAAATTTTCTTTGCATTTCTTGACCTGCTCTCTAAACGAGAAATCTGTACGTACTTGAATGATGATCAATGTACAACAATGCCGCAAAAAGAGTTTTATGAATTCTTAACTAATGTACTCTTGAATATTTCTAGTTCAAACGTTGGATGTATTTGTTTTACCAGCGATGATGCTGCCACTCGCAAATATACTGACACATTTTATACTATGTGGAAGCGGGTGGAACGCAATGTGCATTTCATTAATCAAACGGAACAAAAACTACCTGTCATAGATTCGACAGCAAATTATATTCGTCATTTTTTCTGGAACTTATGTGATCGTACAGTTGTTGTGCCATGGCTGCTGAATAATGGCGTGGTGAAAATCATTTTAGAATGTCTGAAAACATTAACACTATCGTCAGAAAAAGATGAAGATATTGCCGCCATCATTTATAATATATCTCGACACGATGACGGTGCTGATGAACTCAATAAATTGGACGGTCTTCGTATTCTTAAAGATATTCAAAGTAACAAAACAGAAGACTTGAATGATTTCAAGAATCTTCGCATTTCGATGATCATTGCTCATCTCTCTACAGTCGAACAGATTCGTTCAGATAATAAACGAAAGAATAGAATTCTTAATAATTTATTACAAATGACTATTGATGCTGCCGAAGTAAGTTTGAGTTTCGTGTATATCTATTTGAAACTTTCGATGCTTACAAACAATGAAAATATGATCTTTTATTATTTAGACGCAAGATCATCGCAATTATCGTGGCTTTCATGTATCTGAACCCTTAGCCGTGTTCACCAAACTGTTTGTGGATGATCTTTCACTTGAATATGTCTTGAATCATGCAGAAACTGATCCACAACTGACACTATCAGCGACAATTGCTTTATTCGTCAACTTGTTCATCGAATTTCGCGGTGCATTTGCAGTAGAAGATCCGCTGAAACAATTCACATGCACAGCTTTACTAAACATTCTATGGAGTATTTCGTTTCAAGATCGGTATAAAGCAAAACTGAAAGAAAATAATGATTTATTGAAGACTATCAAAAGCTTAGCTATGGACAATGACGAGAAGATAGTCGATCGGTATGTTCCACGTTCAATGGAAAGTATGAGAAATGCTGCTAATGGTATTCTTTACAATCTCAATGTGACATCAGATAATAAGAAAGATGCCAAATCAGACATACCAATAGTTTCGAATACGGACAACGGAAAACCGATGATTATGATCAGTTATGCTCATGATAACGACCAATTTTGTGATAAAATTCTTATGGAATTGGAAAAAAGTCAAGATCTTTTTAGAATTTGGATTGATCGTAATCATTGCTCATCGAGTGAAGATTTATGGGAAAAAATTGCTCGTGGTATTGGACAAGCAAAACTTGTAGTATGTCTTCTTTCCCAAGATTATTTCAATAGTAAATCATGTCGAAAAGAAGCATCCTTTGCTATCAAACGGAAAAAACCAATTGTTCCTATTTATTTTGGTGAACCTGGTGATTGTGATTGGCTTGGTATGTTATTTCATATTTGAAATTTTTTATATCCCTAGATCAAAAAACCATCTTGAGAGTGTAAGTGATTAAGACAGAAATCAACCGCACTCCTATTATGGAATCTGAACGGATTTCGACAGGAATCGACTATCGGAATGATCGATCAGGGTCAGAGGTGAAGTCTGTTAGTTATGTGTTGACCTTCTTTAAGAGACATTTTTCCGATTTTTTTCACTTTGTAACATAGAAAATCATCGTTTATAGACATTCACATTGCTGATCGCAAATATATTCGTTTCAAAACCAATAAACCTGAATTGGATGATGTTAAAGTTCAAGAAATGCTAAGAACGATTGAAGCTACTATCAAAGAAGCACAAGAACAATCATCATACCCACAACAAATAGAACAACATAGTGTACCTGCACAACCCCGAAAAGAAATAGAAAAAATTCAATCAACAACTGTCGATGTGAAAAAAACACCCGAAGAGTGGACTCGAAATGATATTCAGAAATGGTTTTATAGTCGTAATGTACCTGATACACTTTTGAAACTATTTGATTTTCAATCATTTGCGGAAATGAATCAATATGCTTTAAAACTACAAGCAAATCCTAAAAATGAATTTTTCAAATATGGTCAGCGTTATGCAAAAGCTCATGCAGGTGATGAACTTGAAGAATATATCTTCGATCGATTTAAAAATGCTCTCCTCGAGTTACCCGTCAATCGATCGGACACAATGAAACTATCGACGCCATCTTCGAAACCATCATCATCTAACTCAAGTACATGTACTATTTCATGAATTCAGTTTCAACACATATACTTCAAATATATAAAACTAATCGTAGTACATTTAGTTTGTGCGTGATTATCAATATTCGTTTCTTTTATAATAATAAATATCATAAATGATCATAATACGACTAAAGTAATATTAAGGGTATACGTGTGCTCTATGAATAAGGTGATACCTACATCCACACTCACACCCTCGAGATATATATCAATGTTAAAATTATTAGAAAACGAAAACACAATTCGTTTATTTTATTATAAACATTTATCTATCTTTAACAATTAAAACAATCAACTTTTTTTCTTAAGTTGAATAACATCTTTACGCATATTATTGGTTTTTATTGAAAGATGTTTCTTTTTCTTATTTTGTTTTTGTTTTTGTTTTTTTAGTATAAGTGCCGGTCGTTTTCCAACTCGACCTTGTTGTACACCATCAGTATCATTTGACGGCATTGATTTTTTCTTATGAGATTTTTTATTTGGTGGTCGATAACGTTTTGGCGGAATATTCTGTTTGACAGGCTAAATAAAAACCATAATATAAAAATGAAATTCTAACTATAGACTTACTTTAGCTTTTTTAACAGCAGTTTTAATACGTATTTGTCTATTTCCCACTTGACAATTACCATTCATTCTCAATGCTAATGAAACTGATGCTTCATCCTAAAATAATTAATTATAAAATTTAATATTCAGTTTTTTTTTCAATACTTTAAATAGAACATATCCAAATCCTTTACCAACACTTGTTGCACGATCACGTACAAGACGAACATCTAAATAAATAAATCTCGATATTAATTTTAATTATCAAATAAATTCATACTATCGATTTCACCACATTCTTCAAATGCTTTCCAAACATCATCATCATTAGCATCAAAAGGAAGATTTCCAATAAAAATACTTCGTTTATTATCATGCTATTTAAATCAAGATGAAACTAATTACATATATATATATATTTATTCAATTACTTTAGCATCTTCATTTTGATCTTGTGCCATATCAACACGTAAATGATGTTCTTTATATAGATAACCATTTCTAGAATAAGAAATATCTTTTATTTTCAAATAGTTAAAATTAAATTATTCTTTTTAATATATAAATATACTTACAAAGCCGTAGCTTCTTCTGCTTCTATTTCATCAGAAAATCGAATAAAAGCAGTTATTGTTCTTTGTAATGGATGAAATTCTTTTTTAATAAATGCAAGACGTTTACCACGTTTTGCATTCAGTGGAATCTAAATAAAATTGAATTTATTAAAAAATAATTCTAAATAAAAATAATATTACAATATTTCGTAATCGAACTGATTCGATGGTACCAAATTGTGAAAACAATGCTCTAAGTTCCTAATTCAATAAATAAATGATTATAATCAATTAAAATTTAAATATTTATCAATACTTTTTGAGTACATGCACTTGGAACATTTCCAACAAAAATTGTTCGAGCATTAGCAATAGATGGGTCTTCATATTCACGTTCCAATCTATATAAAAATTTAGAATAAATATATTTTTTTCTCTAATATATAAGTAATAAATCATACTTGGCTTTCTCTTTTGCTGCTTCGATTACTTCTTCTTCTTCTTCAGTTTCATGTTCAGATTCTTCTTTGAGTGGTACACTGACATATGTGATTTTTCTTGCATTATTAAATAAATCTGTTAAATTCGAAGTCATCTATAAATACTCGAACTTCAAAATGAATTCAATTGATTTAATATGAATGTCTCTCAGATGGCCCCTGACAGCTGACTGTCTTCACAGATATAGAATCGAGCTGATGTTAAACATCGTGTCAATCATCATAGAGACAAATTATAATCAATGATTAATTGAAGAAAAATCATATTCATTTAACGAATTTATTAGTTTATAATTAAATAGAATATTAAAATAAGAATTAACGATAAAACCTAATACCTGTTCCTTGTTATAATTATTAATGAGCGATAAAACGAACAATAGAATAAAGCAAAGAAATGGCCGAATGTATATATATATAAGTATCATGAAGTTGAAAGCAAAAAAATTAAATAATATCACATATCAAGAGATTCCATTGTGTAAGTAATATATCTGTCTTTATTTTATCTATTTGGTTTAAACTGCTCCAAGATTTGTTGCCTTTGGAAGAAGGCCAGAATTACGTGGATATTTAAAAAAAAGAGATACTTGAATAAAACCCAATATAGCACCAAGAAAATTTGGAACCTAAAATAGATTTTGTACTATATGTTTTTCTTGTATAAAAAATTTGAAAAAATCTACTTGAACAAATTTATCACTAATTAAAATACCATACAGAACCCATTCAGCTGGTACAACAAGATTTGCAAAGCATAATGGTAATGAAAGTGATTCAGTACTTTGCTTTTGTATAACTTCTTGCTAAAATAAAGATTCTTTTTAATTTAATAGAAGAACTGTTTCGATGTTATACATACGAGTGAAACTAATGGTGAACCATACATAATCACGGTAACAACGGATGCAACAAGGCCAGCATGAAGAATAGCCGTACTACGATCAGATACAATATATAATAAATAAAATGAAACTGTTGCAAGAAATGCAAGTGCCATTCCAATTAAACGTAAATATGAATTCTACATATAAGACAAAATTTGTTTTTAAACAAAATTCATTTGATTTAATTTACTCGATCGGGTGTATATTGAAGATAAAATAATGCATATACGAATTCTAATGATGCTCCAATAAAATTAACAATCATAATTGTTGAATTATTTGCTGAATAACCATATAAAAACCATAGAGTACAACTAATTAATTTAATAAGAAGAAATTATTGATAAAATTCTTTTGTTATACGTACTTAACCATTGTTGCAACAAATGGAAAACCTGAGATATCACCTGTTGTACGCATACGATAGATTCGATTACATATTTGTCTATAGAATAGAAAAATGCAACTATATATATACATAAACAAAAAATTCTAATCTTACACTCCAGTTAAAAATAAACCAATTGTACTTATCGTACATATTTTTTCAATTATTGGTGTTAAATCATCTTTGTTACTCGTCATTATTAAGATTTTTTTCTAGAAGGACAAAAAAGAAGATGACTTTTTCTTTCTTTTTATATATTTGTTTTCATTTTCATGCATAGATACATAATAGACAATAATTAAAGATTTTTTAAATGATAGTTGAAATTAATACACATACAAAAGAAGAAGAAGAAGAAAAAGAAGAACAGAATTTACAAAAATGAAATATTCTTGAATATATAAAAATTATAGTTTATAGTTGAATAATTATTTATTTTTTTAATCAGTTTTTAACCAAATGTATTTTCACCACCATAGGCAATATATAGAAAACTATCTTCATCTTTATTTTCAGCATAAATTTCACCCATCGTTGCACTAAAATAAACATTTTTGTTTTTTTATGAATTAGATTTTCTACTTTATTTTTATTACCTTGATAATGGAATTGTTTTATTAACAAAAAGAAAAATAGCTTTTTCTGGTGCTAATTGTATTCGTTTACGAATAATCCACATAAATTGTGCAACTGTTATGTCATTGGGAACTAAAAATTTACGTTTATCGATTTCAGGTATTTGAGATTTCGGTACACGTTCAACTACAACCTAAAATGAATGAAATTTTTTTTCGTATTAAAATAATATGATAAAATAAGTTTTATATTACCGGAATTCGTTCAGGATATTTAACACGAATTTTCTCAGCTTCTTGTTTACGTTGATCTATTAAATATATATATATTTAATTATATAATATTAGTATATAAATGAAATTGTTTACCAAGGGGAGTTTCTTCTTTGAATCGAAATTTCATTTTTGTTTATTAGTATAAATATTTAATGAAAAACAGTTTGTTGCTTATGTATATATATTACGCAAATGAAAATAATGTCGATCTAGAATAGAAATTACCAATGAATCATTTTGATTGATGAATAATAGTTAAAACGAAAATATTGATATTTTTTTTCCTTCTTCTTTATAATCTTATTTGTACTTAATAAACAAAGTTGAAAGAGGAAGAAAAACAAACGAATGAAAAATCACATGATAAATATAGACTGGCTAGCCTTTCTTGAAATAAGAGTAAATTAATGTAACAGCTGATAATAGAAGTCATCTTTAAAGGAAAAAAATCTTCATGGCCATTTTTGAAAATAATATTTAGGAAAAAACCGTCAGGCGTTAAGAGTAAAAGAAAATAAATAAATTATATCGGCCTCTTTGATTACACTTATACTAGATGTCACTGTCTCTCAATAGATGATTGCGAAAGTTTTTACACTATCAATAATCGATAGAGATGAATTCTGATTATATTAGATTTAAATTGCCATAACGGAATTACATGAAGAAAATCGTTCGTTACGGAATTTCAAAAATGAACAAAATTTTGAGGGAGGACTCAGATTTCAACATTTTTCTCCGAAATTAAGTGACACATAAATGAACGTTTTATACATAGATTATTCAACTTTTCACAAGCTCTTAGAATATCATGTCTTTTTCTCCGTCAAACATTTCCCTTAAATAAGACGACTTAAATAATATCAGTTTTATATGTCAGCTGAGTAACTCAGAATGTCGGACAAACTTAATAACATAGAATACTTGAGGCAGAGGTTCATTTCAATTTTTGGCCTTTCTTTAACATTGATCCTTCATGAAGAAGACGATGTTCGAATACAATACTCAATCCATTCAGAACATTCAATAAAATAGCAATCTTTTGATTGAAATTTTAATGAAGAATTACATCTATCGTATTCTATTTTTAAACTATATCTGTTCAATGAATACTTTTTCTTTGATTACATTCTGAATCTGATTTCAATAATATATACGCAATAAGCTACCATATGTAAATCAATTTCAACGTTTCATGATATTTTTGTTCAAATTGTAATCTTATCTTTGAGTAAATATTAATATGAAATAGACATGATAACTTGTATTGATCATATTTGCATAGGTCGAGGTTCAAAAAAAAGATCGAAGATTATAAATAAATAATATTGTTTTAGTTAATTTAACGTTTATGTTTAAATAATTAATCAAAGTTTAAGAATAATATTTGATTTGTTTTTTTTTCTTCTATTTAATGAAAGAGAAATAATTGATGTAGAAAAAAATGAAACTATATTCAACTGTGAAGAATTAATTCGTCTGAGAAAGTTAACAAGAAGAATATATTCATTGATAATTAGACTCTATTGTTTTTAGTAGAAAAAAAAACAGCATCTATTTCGTATATGCAGTGCATCTCGTGATAAATTTTATTTTTGATTAAAATCTGGAACGCAAAAAAGCAGTCATTTATTATAGATCACCCATCAATAATGTCTATGACTTTTTTCTTGAATGAATATAAATAAATGAGTTCAAGGTCAATTTTTCTAATATGTTTGTGAAACAAAACAAAAGAATAATAATAATATAGAGATTATTTATGTTCATTACTTTTCGGGTATAATCTTCACTAAGTATTAAATATGTTTCTTGTTAAAAGTTTTGTTTTTATATCAAGATCAAAAAAAAGGTACATACACAAAAACATTAATTAACACATTTAAGAATAAATATACAATAATCAAAGACAAGAAGGAAAAAAAGAAAGAAAGAATATTCATTGTTGCACTTTAGTATCAAAATCTTGTATATTGGACGTTGAAGGATAATTTGATGATATTTGTGGTTGTTGTTGTTGTTCATCATTATCAGTTTTTAAATAATTCGAATGACTAGATGATTTATGATTTATTTTTAAATTCCATTTGATTTTTTTTTCAAATGATATTGGTTTCGTTTGTTTTAAATTATATGATACATTTGTTGTACTTGTATTTATATTTACATGTCCATTAGAATATTCTTTCGATTGTTTTAGTTGATCATGTAAATGATTCGTTTTCGATTTTTTTCTACTAAAATGTTTTTTAAAATTATGATAATTATTTTGTTGATTAGAATTTAAATTTGATTGACAAATCAATACATTGGTTTGTTGTTGTTGTTGCTGTTGTTGTTGTCGTTGTTGATCTTGTTCATCACCACCATGTTCAGATAGAAATCGACGTACACGACGAAATGCATGATTACGTTCCATAAATGTTTGATTAAGAAAATAATTACAATGTGCAATTGTAAATGCTTCTTTAAGAAATACCATTGATGTTAATGAATATAGAAAAAAATTTAATGTATAATTTAAATTTCTTATTGTTAATGCTAAATAACGAAAACCAATATTAATTATATTGACTTTTAAATTTAATGTTACACTTCCAATTGCTGTTGAAAATAACCAATACCAACATACTTGATATGGCATTGTAAATGTTATAAATGAAAATGAAACAGCTATTAACATAACACTTATATGTATACGTCGTGAACCACGTGTACGTATACGATTGCGTAGTTTATGGACTGTTATTATACTTAATGTTAATATAAGTATGGATGGTAAAACATAAATAAAGAATATTTGTATTGAACCAATAATTTGATATGTTTTAGAAAAAAATAAAAGACAATCATCTACTTTCGATGCAACTATAGCAAGACCAAGTGGAGCAATAAGTGCAACTAGAAAAACACTAAAAACTAATGTCCATGCTTGTTGTCGATTAAAACTTGTTCGAATTAAAAATGGTTTTGTTACTGATAAATA